GAACCGACCCGCGGGGAGTTCAACCTCTCCGGGCTGCCGGAGGCGGAGGAGAAGCCCCTCTTCGGCATCGGCATCGAGAACTTTATTACCCTGATCGTCTTCGGCTTGATCTTCACCCTGGGGGTGCTGGGCAACTCGCTGGTGATCACGGTGCTGGCGAGGAGCAAGCCAGGCAAGCGCCGCAGCACGACCAACATCTTCATCCTCAACCTGAGCATCGCTGACCTCGCCTACCTGCTCTTCTGCATCCCCTTCCAGTCCACCGTCTATGTGCTCCCCACCTGGGTGCTGGGTGCCTTCATCTGCAAATTCATCCACTACTTCTTCACCGTCTCCATGCTGGTGAGCATCTTCACGCTCTCAGCCATGTCCGTGGACCGCTACGTGGCCATCGTGCACTCCCGACGCTCCTCGGCCTTGCGGGTTTCCCGCAACGCGCTGCTGGGTGTGGGGCTCATCTGGGCGCTCTCCTTCGCCATGGCCTCGCCTGTGGCTCACCACCAGCACCTCTTCCACCGCGAGGCCAGCAACCAGACCTTTTGCTGGGAGCACTGGCCAAACCCACGCCACAAGAAGGTCTACGTGGTTTGCATGTTCGTCTTTGGCTATCTGCTCCCGCTGCTGCTCATCTCCTTCTGCTATGCCAAGGTGGGGCACAGCAGGTAGTGGTGAAGGGTGTAAAAGGGATGGGAGGAACAGCAGTGGTGGGTGTCCATGAACTGTGAGGCCATTTCTGGGCATGTGGAGGGACATGGCACTGTCGGGAGGTTATGGGGCAGGGGTAAGTTGGTGTCACGAAGGGAAAGGGAAGGTTTTCTAACTGTGAGATGACTTGGGGAGGAGAGGGGGGTTGTGTGTGACACAGATAGGTCAGGACAGGGATTGCATAGGGTGGGAAGGGGTGGCGTTTTTGTCAATTACTGGGATCCCTCTGCCAGACTTTCTTGATTGCAAAGTGCTGAGAAGCCCCAGTGCTTTGCTGCTTTCTCCCTCAACACAACTCTCCTTTCTCACAGTGCTGTATGAGGAGTTCAACTCAAACGAAATACAACAAAGCAACAAGTTGTTCAGGCTTCGGATGAAGCATTGCAGTTCTTCAAAATGCAGTGCGCTTAAAAATGACACAAATCCACCAGTTTGGTCTGATCCAGTTACAAACACATTAAGAGCAAAAGGTGTATCACACTGCCTGGTCCCTGTGAGCCCTGTCTTGACCCAGCTGAAGTGGATGGGAGCTTTTGCTCTGACTTCAGTAAGGGCAGGTGGTGCTAGGGAGCAGCGCGTGAGGACCCAGGTAGGAAAAAGCAGTAAGGAAGAGTGCCTGAATGAGGGTATTTAAGGACTTTTCTGCTCAGGCAAACTGTCGCATTTTTCTGTGAATATTAATTGCAGCCTTTGGCGCAGTGTCTAATGCTTGCTATAGGGCAGGATCTGGAGCACTGGCTGCTTCCTTCTGAGTTAGAGATCCTTCTTTTTCTGTGCCAGCAACTTCCTCTACCAGGATTTATCCTTAGGCAGGAATTTATGTTTGAGATAATAGGTCTGCTCTTGCAAAAAAGCACTGCTTAAGTATTGAGAAGTCAGTTATTTAACTGGCAAGTTAAACAGGTGTAATTAATGTATTTAATTTGAACCAATAATTTTATTTTCTGTTCAGTTTTATATGTACTAAATCATCCTAATTGTGATCTGCAAATTAATGCTAGAATTGCATCCAACTCTGCTTAAACTGAGTTATGCAGAACTCCAAGGACAACTTTTCTAAATTACTGTTTGTAACAACACAGGTCCGACCTGGCAAATGTAGAAGAAATATGTGTATTCATACATGAACAAAATTCTGTTTTCCCTGGTCTGCTGTTTCATCTACAGTGCTGAATATGACTGAGCTATGAGCGGGACAAAACTTGCTGTAGCCACAGATCATCAGAGTTTTAAGAAAATATTACATGTTTCAGGGAGACTGTTACTGATTGTATGCAGAGGGAGCTTTTAGCTATTAAGAATTCATAATTGTATTTTTCAAATCCAAAGCATCTTCAATTTCAGCATAGAGTACCAGACTTCAAAGTCTAATTGTATCACAGAAAATTGAAAACACATCTTTCAAAATTATGATAGTCCTGCACAGTTTAGGGGGGGGAAGGGGGAGGGAAAGGAAATATGCTTAAACAAAATATAAACATGGTAAGTATAACACACCATGTTGTTACAAAGCACCACTGCAAAAGTAAGTATCTCATTATTAGCATGAATTACGTATTTTTTTAAAAAAACCCAAAACAACCCTAATTGAAATACATGCCTAGAACAAGTTAATAAAATCAAGGCCACTCAAAGGTACAACTAAAATCTTGTGCTTAAGTTACTGCCAAGGCTAGGATGTCACCCTTGCTTGGTGATGTGTTTTAAGCCTGATTCTGTTGGCCGTGGTGTCAAGGTGCAGGATCCAACCTAGGAGGTACCTGGCATTCCCAGCCGTGTCAACGAAGCTGAAAAATGCAGTGACTTGTACAAGGCTACCGGAGGTATTTGTACCCTGCAGTGTAAAGGCTCATTCCTGCCTTCATTAGGAGCCGCTGGCAAGTCTCCAACTGCAATATTTTGGCATGTGGGACAGAGTGAGGAAGAAATTAAGGATGATAGGACTTGAAAATCAGAGCTGAAGTTTTAGGTTTGTCAAAGCCATTGCTATTCTCACTGCTCTCCAGCAGAGCGGTCACTGTGAGCTTTTACTGATGTCACTAAAATACTATGAAGTACAAGTATTTTGGCTTCTGAGTGCATGCAGGGTTAGAGGATCACTGCTGTGTAATAACCTCAGAAGAATTATGGAAATAAATGCATTAGTTTCTTATGGACTCCACTGGTTTTCATGAACTGTGGATCAGCTAAATAACATAATCTTCTGATACAGTAGATTAAGACAAAGCAGACTCATTTCTCTATTTGAATATATTGCCTTTTCCAGACTCCTTTAAGGCCGTTTTGTTTCCTTTATAAACAAATTGCAATTGAACTTTGAGTTTTGAAAGTCTCATTTTTTAGGCACTCTAATAGGGAGCTGAGTTCTTTCTGTCTCTCACTCTCTCTTAAATTATGTTAGGGGGGGATTTGTATTCCCCCGGTGACCAGGCGGCAAGACTGTAAACAACCTACTGAAGTGCTGCAATAGTGCTAGGTATTTGGAAACAGAATCCTCCCACAAAATCAGAACTGGAAATCTCACGTGATGTGCTCTTAAGGCAGAGATTTATGAGATCGTGCTCTGTGTCATGTATGTACAGCTACCCATTTCCTCTCTCCCACAAATAACTTTGGGTCAGTTTCAACCAGATTTGATAGACGAGTGCAATGTCAGAAGGAATCATATTTCCTTAGTTTGGTGAAAACAAGAGTTAATGAAGAAGGTCGAGAGACTCTGTCTTCTCTCTCCCTTAAGGAGAGTCAGTTTGCACTCAGGTCATAGGGTAAGAGGTCTTATGTAGCTTCTACTTATGGAGGAGACACATCTTTTTTGGGAACACACTGTCAAGAAAACACAAATCCCCAGGAAACTGCTTTTGTTGGCTCACAGAACTACTTTTGAAAGGAGCTTACTACGCCAGCCAGAGGAACAGTGGTATAGTTATTAGTTGAGTTACAGCACTGCATACTTTTAGACAGCCTGTATTCTTCTTATTATTATTGCTTATCATATTTCTTGTATTTTTTTATTACTGACTTTTTGTATGTGTTTTGTAACACTGCCACAATGCCTGCTCACTAATGTGTTCTTAAAGGTCAAAGTGAGAAATGATTCCCAGTGAACTTCTAACAGTGAACATCTGCCAGGGTAATGCAATGTCACAACTGATTTGGGGTGTCTCTGCTTTTGCATACCCAATTATGAGGCTTCAGTCCTTGAAAGTCAGCCCTTCTTAAACAGAACCTTTAGGCTGGACACGAAAAATCATTAGCAAACTTCTCCTTTTATAGATGTTTAAAGCTATATTTTTAAAAATTATTTCTTGCCTTAGGAATGTTTCCATTATTATCTATCATTCTGAACATTCTGAATTCATGGGAGACATGTATGATTTATAGAGTTGGTTACAAGTAAGTAATAAAATGTAGGAGCCTCATTATAAAATACAAACTTATATGGTTCTTGGCTTAAGATATCTTAAATTTTGCTGAGCAGTGTGGGAAAACTTCATTGAACTACACTGAAAAGAAAAAAATAAAGGGTATGACACATTAGCAATACACTCTTAAATGAAAGAGGGTGAAGGATCTGTTGCGTCAATAGAAGCAGCAGCATTGCTTTAAAAATGGAATGCAGGCAATGGCACTCAAATTTAAACCAGGTTCAAACAATAAAATACATTTCAGAATGTAATGCTTGCATTATGGTTCCGTTAAACAAGCAGTTCATTCTTACTAGATAATGACCTTGTGCAGGCTTTCCTGCTGCATGATATTCAGTGGCTGATAATGAAAGTGTATTCAGTGGAACGATTATATACAGTCAGTCAGGAAACATGCTTTGCAACAATGTAGACTTCAAATTTTTATATTGTTTGGTAGACTTATGTGAATTGCTACAGATAGTTTAAGCTATTTTTTTCTCTTTCCTTTATTGAAAAAATCCCCTTCTCATCTTGATTTGGTCATAATCCCTCAGCCTGGGCTCTCAAACCATCTTGAACGTAGTTCCTGAAACAACTGGGGAAAAAAAAAAAATCAACAGGTAGTCTGTAGGCAGATCCAGGGCCTCCCAAATGGCATCAGTGGTAGTTGTGGTAGTACAGTCTGGAACAGACTGGAACTTCTTACATTTTTATGTTCCTACAAGTCTACTTACACCCTCTTTCACAACATCAAAACTTTTCTTCCCACAGCACCCCACCCTCATCTCCAGAAAACAAGAAAGCTATTCCTTCCCTGAGAGCCAATATGATCTCTGATGAACAGGTACATGAAAGCTAGAATTAGAAAAGTTTCTTGTAAAGAGTTAATTTTTCCACAGAGCTGATTTTTTAAAAAATGTAACACCTTATGAGAACAGGTTGTGACCTATTTTTCAGCAAGGTATTTCATTTGGTGAGTTAAAAATGCACATGAAAATGTATTAGTGGATATTTTGAAAGACTTTCTTTAGAGAAATAACCTGAGACACATTAAGAGACACATGTAGGATTATTATTCATTCAGGTGAGGTGACTGTGGCTGTTAGAGGAACAATTGATTACTCATTAGCCCAGGGAAGAGATAATTTGAACAAGGCAGTGAGGAGAGGTGTCTTTGATTTCCCTTGTAGTGTTTGTGCATAAACATGGCTCTTAATATCACTCCATGGCATTCTGTGTAGGTCTCAGTGCTTGCTGTTCCACTGCCGTTGGTAGGTAATTAAATTCTGCCCTTTCCTCTTGCTGCTGGTTTCCATGCCATCTGGTACACTACCAAATACAGCCAGCATGTTTTGACTGCAGAGACTTATTGAAATAAGTCTATAACTTGAAAGAGGAGAAGTGGAGAATGAACCATTGAAAGGTTATCATCTACATCTTCAACAGCCACCACCAGCACCACAAATATCCAGTTTAACAACTTTGTCTACTCCATCTTTCTTTGGACTGGAGAGAGATGCAATGCAAAAATCTGTTAAAATTTTAATCAAAATTTTAAATATTTATTAGAATTTTAAAATGCTATAAGTTTCAGCACAAAAGAAAAAAATTATATGTAACTTTAAAAGAAGATTTTGCAGTTCTGATTTCTGGGAAGAGCTTATCTGACTTCAGTCTTGGCTGTGAGGGAAAATCACAGTACAGTGATTGGGTGGCAGCTGATGGGATTTGCAAAGGTCCAGTAGAAACAGCCCATCATTGTAAGTGACGTGAAGGGGGTACAATAGGTGAAGCAGCAGTGATAGGAAGCGAACTCTACTGTATTTCTCCCATGCTGTTTATTGGTTTTACATTTTTCACCCATGGACTAAGCAATTCAACTGTCTTGTACATGGTGACGGCAGGTCATAAAGAGGGTGTAAGCCAGAGAAGGCCAGGGAGAAGGCCATCTCCCTGGTCTTCTTCTGGACCTCAGGGGCTCTTTTGCCCTTTCCCTCTGGTCCGCTTCCTCCTGGAGAAGCCAAAGCCAGACCTTCTCAGAGAGGGGAGATCTTATCCATGCTTATCAGTATCTAAAGGGTGGGTGTCAGGAAGATGGGGCCAGGCTCTTCTCAGTGGTGTCCAGTGACAGGACTAGGGGCAATGGCCATAAACTGGAAAACAGAAGGTTCAGCCTGAACATGAGGAAACCCTTCTTCCCTGTGAGGGTGACAGAGCACTGGAACAGGCTGCCCAGAAAGGGGGTGGGATCTCCTTCCCTGGAGACTTTCAAAAGCCGCCTGGCCTTGTTCCTGTGTGACCTACTCTAGGGGATCCTGCTCTGGCAGAGTGGTTGGACTAGATGGTTTCTAGAAGTCCCTTCCAACCCTTCCTACCACTCTGTGAATCTGTAAAACCCGTTTATTTTTCTCCTGCCTTTCCTGGGCTGAGCTTAGCCAGGTGACAACCCGGCTAGTGTTTCAGAATAGGGAGAGCATGCAGGGCTCAGTCTTTCACTCACAAACATATTAGTGCAAAGATGAAAAGCACAAATGAACTGCACTGCCAGTGTTAAGTGGTTGCAAGTAATTTTTATTTTATTGTTGTTTGTGGTTGTTGGGTATCTAAGAGTAGATACTTAAAAATTGTAATCTGCTGATGAGCTATGGTTATTAAAAAATACCATCTTATTTCTTTTAATACATTATGTATGTTTCTAAGACTCAAATGGCAGAGTGGGATCAAGTCTATAGATCATCTTGCCTGGTGTCTGTCCTGGTAGTGGTTAGCTGTGCATCTCAAAGAAAGCAGAGGAAGTGTCCTCAGATGATATAAGAGAATTTGAATATATACCCTTTTCTCCACCTCAATAAGTCTCCTTATAAGCCCTAAAATTTAGTATTATATTCCTTAAAAAAATCCCTTTAATTCTGGATGATCTTACCTATTATATTGGGATGATGTTACCTATTAAATTGTTCTCAGCTCATCTTAGAGCTGTGTAAAGTGCAACTTAACATTGTCATCTCACTGAGCTCTAGACTCTGACGTTCTCTAAAAAATTCCTCTTACCATATTTTAATTAAACCCACGAGTTTAATTAAGCATGTCCTTTTTTAAATTCCGTATGGTTTACAACTTGTTAAGCACGTTCAGCTGAAGAGCATATTCCCTGCCCACCATGCCACGTGAATATATTAGATTCAGTTAATAATGACTGCAGATAAAGTAGGGCATGCACCTCTATGCATCCACTATCCAAAATCTTATTTTTAAATCACTATGTTAAAATTTGGACCCTGGCCTTGGATGATGAACCTTTTTGAGACATATTTTAAAACTTTACAAGGTTCATGACAAGTATCATCAAACTGTTGATAGTCTTGCCTCATGTGAGATACATTTTAGTATAAATTATTTTTGAAAGCCTAGACTTCTTTCGAAGATCAAATAGCACCAACATCCTGATTATATTAACCAAACATCCATTTGAAGAAAGCAAATTATGCAGGTGACTCAGAAAAGCTCTAGCTGGAAACATACACTTTTTATGTTACATGCAGTAAAGGTCATTCTAAATTAACAAGCATTGACATTTGTATGAAAGAAGAATGATTGCTAATTCTAGGTGCATGATAGGTTTCCATTTGTTGACCATTTGTAATATGTATTTGCTATGTAGAACATCTGAATTTTTATATAAGAATTCAGTGGTGGTCTGTTTCTCCTTTGTAGATTCACTCAGATGAAGCAGGTATGTAATTCCTTTGGATTTTATACTGTGCACTTAAAAAATATGTAAATTGGATCAGTGATGTTTGTAAGCGACTCATGCAGTACTGGAGAGGATACTTTGAAATATATGGGTTTGAATTTTAGAAAATGATGAAATACAAGACGCAAATTCATCTTTTCAGGTTCTTAATCATCTGCATAAAAAGTTGAGAAACATGTCCAAGAAGTCAGAAGCATCCAAGAAAAAGGTAGATTGCTTTTATTACCAATATCTATTTGTTTATATTTCAGTTTTATGGCTAAGCTAACTTGGTATTACATTGCTTGTTGCCAAAGATGTAATGGAGAGAAGGAATTGAAATGAAGTATTTAATGATATATTCAGTGTCTCTCTGAACTTAGCAGGATTGGAATTTTTCTGATCCGTGTCTTCCACAGCAGTGCATCAAGCCATTACCTGAGATCCCAATATTTTGAACTTCAGAGCATCTGAGATTTAGACATGAAGAGACAGCCTGTCTCTAATATTAAATGTGGGGGGGTTTGCCTCACAGGCATTTTTCCCTACCTTGTAAACATTTTTTGCATTTTATTTTTTTAACTAGCTGAATTTTTTTATGTTTTATGAAGGATTGCTAGGTTATATGACAAGACCTTAAAATGAGGCTTATTGTGCTTTCTGATAGGAGTCTAGTGATGCTTCAATTCTTCCATTTATTTTCCACAAAATATGTTTTTCTCTAATGTTCAAGACTTAAGCTATATACTGGTTACAAGCAGAATCATGAAAGGTCTTTAAAGCAGAATATAGGCTTTGTGATTTGGAAGAGTATTTGAAAGACGTCTTTATGTATTGAATTTGTCGGTTAATATAATATGGTTCTGATTTTTGAGCAGATTTAACCACAGTAATCATTTGGCTAACTTTCTCAGCTCATGAATGTGGACTCAGAAAAAACCCTTAGGCTATAGCTCTTCATTTGATTGGATCACCATTACCATATGGGCGTGCAAACTGTCTGAAATGTAAATGAGATATACATGGGCTCAACAGGGAATAAGTAATCTATTATTTATGCATTTGCTATTTTTTTGAAAAATATCCTAGTCAATAGATTTTAATTTCTAGAATTAAAAGCATTATGGCCCTGGCTCCATAAAAAACTTATATAATTTTGCACTTAATGTTGTCAAGGCCACAGGTGTAGTTTTCAAAGGCATTCTGAACATTGCCATCTCTACTCTCATCTAAATTGTTCTCAAACTGGAAATATCTGTGCCTTTCCTCTGAACACTAACTCTTAAAAATTGCAAGTGAAAATCAGATCTGGCTAGGAACTAGCTTTCATAGCTTCAGAGGAAAGCATTACAGATATGTCCAAGGCTGTTTGGATGTATCAGGGCTCAGTAACCAAAGGGCAAAAAAAAAAAAGCAGCCTAAAACTTTTTTTGCCTTAGATAATAAGTTTCTGAACCTAAGGCCTAACTCATGTTTTTCATAGCAATTCTGTTTTCAGTAGTGTGCTTTCTCTCTGGTTACTGAATCTTTCTTCTTTTCCTTCTAATATTTGTTAAGAATGCATTTCAGGCTTAATTGCACATTTCTATCTTTTTCCAAACTTTTATGAAAATTTCAGTAGGAGCATCTTAAAATTAAGTTGCTATATATGGGGAAAAAGGTAATGAAAAATATAGATGTGCCTAAATGCTATTTTTTATGCTTTTTGGTCACAAAACATCCATATTAACATCATGTATTTGAGGTGGTATTTATCTGCTAATAAGAAGCCCTAAGCAAGCTCCCATTAGGTAAACAAGAGCTACCCTTTAGTGTTACCTTGGTTGCAAGGCATAGTGTTGATTTTGGAAAGGTAAGCTCTGAAGTTAGGCTCAGGAGGAATAATGAGATAAAACAGATGTTGTGAGGTTTCCTAATGCAAAATTACTATTCTGCAGATATGAAATATCTTAAGTAAAATAGTTACATGAGACACATGGTCAACCTCTGCTTTCCAGTGCATCTATACAGCCCACTGAAAGTCAGTGATTTTCCTAGTGTATTTTTTGATACAGTTTTGAACAAATGGAATATACTGTCGCACACGATATCCTTGTCTCGAAACT